TGATAGTGTATCGATCTTGCATGATAGTAGTAGATGCCATTTCCAGCTTGCTACCTTAACTTATTTCCAGTAAACTAGTTTTTCCTAGTTTCAACTGACGACGACGACTACGACGTTACTCATACCTTTCTTCCTATTACCCCTCCCCTCCCCTCCCCACCCCTCCCTCCCCCTTTCTTTCTATCTTTTTTTTATATTTTATTCTTTTATCCTTTTCTTTCTTTTCCTACGATCGAACGATGTGTTTTTTTTTTCTTCTTCTACCTTTTTGTACGTTCCTTTAGGAAAAAAAAAAAAGAAGAAGAAGAAAAATTTACCTTGGGTTTTATTCCCTGCACGCGAGAACTGAAAATGAGTTACATATAGTTTTTTCTTTTTTTTTTTTGGCAAGGGAATATTTTTACGAGCACGGTTACTATGCACCGTCAGCTTTTGTTATCGAACTTTGATGTCTTATCGATCGACAGATACGAAATTTCACGGCTTTTATCAAGTGTCTGATGGTGGTGGTGATGGTGGGTTGGTGGTTTCTTTCTTTTTTTAAAAATAAAGGGAAAAATAATATTTGTTAAGTAGTTTTGTTATAATGAAAATCTATAAAAGTTAGTGGTGACCCCATGTGTGTTCGCGTTTCATTTATAATTAATTAAAATATAATAAGAAACATATGGGAAAAGGGGGTTAGATATTTTTGTATTTAAATAATAAATAATTCAAATGTATTATTATTACAATTTTAGATTATTCTTAATTTAGTTAATGTTTCAAAATATTGAATATTGAACGAATTTTCTTTGCATATTTTAAACCCAACGTCATCGTGTTACAAATAATTATAAATTTATGAGAAAATAAAATCTCGATGGTTAAGTAATAATAAAATATTGTTAATTAATCTTTAAAGTAACGTAATTCGATATAATAAATGACGTAACTTAGAAGCTTCTATGGAAAATTATTATATATTTATTTTTTTAATTATTATTACACACTTCGAACATTTTCAATCGATAGATTAATTAAATTAAAGAATAATTTCTCACATATTAATAAACTATTGAATATCATCATGACAGTTCAATAAGTAAATACAAAAAAAGAAAAAAGGAATTTATTTAAAAAGAACAAAATATTAAAAAACAAATATGATTATCCTTTTCATCGTGTTTCAAACGTTCCATCTACTTTCGTAAATGTGTTTCTCGTGGATGTGTTTATTCTATTACGATCGTGTACGCTTCCAAAAATTGCTATACCCAAAATATCACATGAGGTAATCCCTATACAAAGTGTGTGTGAGAAAGAGAGAGAGAGAGAGAGAGAGAGTTAAAAGCCGTCAAGAATGTTTTCCTAACATGCCTCGTGTTTAAAATTCAATTGCGTTTTATACCAAAAATATTTTCTTAAAAAGAAGTTGGAGGGAGGGGGAAAGAGAAAAAAAAATACCTATAAATCATTTCTCATTTTTGTTTTTTTCTATATCAAACCAGGAGTGTTAAAACAAATCTGAAATATTAGCAGAGTGTATTAAATATTATTAAAATAATTATTAATTAATCAAAATATAAATGTTTATTATACATATATAATTTAAAAACATCGAGTATAAGTTCAATACAACTTTCTTCTTCGAAATTTAATAATAAATTGACACGTGTTATCCTCTGCGCAAATTATTTTTATCAAATATTGTTTATATGATTTACCATAAAAGGAAATTCTATTTACTACGAATATTGTTTACATGTACAATCTTTAAAAAGTCTTATATAAACAATATTCAATAAAATAACTTTCACAGATGACAATAAACTAGTCTAATGGTGGATTTCGAAGAGGAAGGTGCTGCGAATATATACTCAGTACTTTTAAATTGCAATATATATTTTTTTTCGATCAATTAACAATCATTTAAATTATTTTTAATAATACAATATACTTTACTAATATCTTTTAGATTTGTTTTAACGTCATCGAATATTATATATATATTTCATATTTTTAAACAACAATATCCATTTTTTTTTCGATCAATTAACAATCATTTAAATTATTTTTAATAATACAATATACTTTACTAATATCTTTTAGATTTGTTTTAACGTCCAACAAATATTATATATATATATTTCATATTTTTAAACAACAATATCCATTTTTTTTCGATCAATTAACAATCATTGAAATTATTTTTAATATTATAATATACTTTATATTAATATCTTAGATTTGTTTTAACTTGCGTTTGTATTTTAATAAATACTTATAGAGAAACGTGAGATGTTACTAGAACACGCCATGCTTTAAGAAATAATAATAAATCAATTTCATGATTATATACGTGTACATTTTAAAAATAACTCACCTAAGATTGAACCCTACGTTAAAGTTTTCTTATGAATTTTTTTTTTCTTACATGTTAGTTAATCATATATTACTTCTAACTTCTTTCTCTTTCTTTGCTTTTCTTTTTTTTATATTGCAGTAAAATAACCGAATTGGATAAACGAAAGAAACTAACAAAATATGAATCAATTTCTTTTTATTTATATATAGGAGGGGGAGGGGAAAGAAGAAAATAATAATAAAAACAAAAAGATTGCAATTATCGTTGATCAAACATATTTTCATTTCGTTGATTTATTTTATTATATTAATCGAATTTAATTCTAGCGTACGCGAATTCGTAGGGAAAAAAAAATTAAATATTTATTTTAATCCCCCCCCCCCCCATTCCGCGAGAGAGAGAGATATTCTATGGATATTCGAAGAGAGAATTAAAATTGTCGTTCAATATTTGAACATTAAAAACATTCCAGTAAAAAAGAAAAACAAACAAAGAAAGAAAGAAAGAAAAAAAAGAAAAGGGGGAACCAATTTTCGAATTACCAGTGAATGCATCGAATAACGAAAATCGTTTTCGTTGACCGAAAATGATTGCACCAAAATCGAATTTCTATTTTTATTCTATCACAAAGGGGATGAACTACTATATATAACTCACAATTGTCGAATTATATTACGAAAAAAAAAAAAAGAAGAAGAAGAAAAAAACACATGGTGATTTTTCGTCTAACGATAAAAAAAAAAGATTTTCATTACCATATTTGTCGTGGATTTGTTCTATAAAAAAAAAAAAAAAAAAAGAAAACAACGAAAGGTGGTAGGTTTTAGTTGGGGTGGACTGAATGAACGATTGGTGGGGGGAATAGTGGGGGTAGGGTTCTGTGTTGTTAAAAGTAGGAAAAATCACGACCTCCTTTATTTCACCATTTAAATAACGTTCTACGAGATTTTTTATTCCAAAAAAAAAAAAAACTGGTCGAATATTTTTTAATACACGTTATTGCGTTTTCGAAATATTACTCTTTTCTTTTTTTTTTTTTTTTTTTTTTAAATCTCGAAAAAACGACGATCGAAAGGATCCTTACGAGGAATAAATATAATATACACGTACGTACTAACGTATGTGTG